CTTTCAACGGACAGACAGAGAGGAGTGCAGTCCTGACCACTCACTCCATGGAAGAGGCGAACGCTCTCTGCAATAGGATTGCAATCATGACAAGAGGTGTCATGAGATGTATCGGTTCCGCACAACATCTCAACAACAGATACGGAGCCGGATATGTGTTGGACATGAAATGGCAGCCGATTCGGGCCACACAGGCGTCCATCAAAACCATCATTTCTGGTCTGTTCTCCGAGTGGACGGTTCGGGAAGTGTTTGACAATCGCATGACAGCCGATATTCCTCAGCAGTCGGTGCCCTCTCTGTCGGCTGTGTTCTCATCGCTGGAGCGCCTGAAGGTTGATCCCAACAGTGGTGTCGATGAGTATAGTTTGAGTCAAACAACTCTCGAACAGGTCTTCATATACTTCGCCAAAGATGGCCAACAGAGCACTGTTTAGACACAATATTGACATTTATTATCACATTTTGTCACTCAATTCATATGTTTTTATTTACGATTCAAATATTTAATTGTTTTTAATATTAATTTTAGTTTAAATTGAATTAAAGTTTTATTCCATTACTTATTGTAATCTCAAAAAATGATTGATTTGTAAATTAAATTGAATAAAAAAACTGATTATAATTTGCAAATAGTTTTAATTTGTTTTTAAAAGTAAAGATTTCGTTACAACAAAAGTCAAAAACAGATGAAATGCTTGATTAAAACAGTGTTTGATTTGAAATATATTATAAATTATATTATAATTATATAATTGACCAAAAATACAAAGTTTTCATTTAAAATGCAATTAAAAGGATTAGAAAACGAATTTAAATTTAACACAAAATTAAGTCAAATATTAATACAAGTGATACGGAAATGCTATACAACTCTTTAGTTCCCATTCAGTAATAATCATTAAAATAGGTTCCAGAAGTACCGACGCCTTCATCAAAGGTATTATCACAATTGGGATCAAAGTCTTCGTCCGTGAGATAAGTTTGGATGAGTTGAGACGCGCTCTGATTGGTTGCGTTGAACAGCGTTTGACTACTGATTGAATTGAGCGTTGAGTCCAAGCGTTCGGTCATTCGTGGCGTCGAAGTCGACGGCAAAGAGTCGTCAAAACACTTCCAGTCGCCCACAACTCCATCATTGTCTTCATTGGCCACCGATTGGCCGTCAATCGCGTCCAACGCCTTCTCCGCCACTCTTTTCACTGATTTATCGCTCAAATCAGTCAACTCTTTGTCTTCATCCCAATCGATGTCCTGTCCATCGATTGTCTTCAACTCAACCATTGGTTGACATTCAATGGCAGACATATTGTTCACGTCTTCAACATATCCATAACCTGTCGTCAAACCAATGGTCTGTCCTTTTGTATCGCATTTGTCTTCATTCTGTCGGCCATTATCTTCAGCCAAACCAATGGTTGGACTCTCTGTTTGCGGACATTCATCGGCGACTTTGAGGCCATCCTTTTGGGCGCTTTGATTGTCACTCATTTGATCCGTAATCCAAACGCTGAGATCCCTATCGGAAACCTCTGTTGGCATACATTTGACACCACTTTTGCCACACTTTGCGGACGAATCCGTGTCTTCATTGGATGTATTGGCGGTGTCTTTGAGTCGTTGTCGCCATTGAATGCGAAACTCTCGCTCTTTGTCTGTGATTACACCCCAAAAGACACCGCAATTGTCTTCAATATTGATCTCACAGTAATCGGTGGTAAAGTCGTCGTCCGAGTCTTGAGCCGTTGTCTCCATCGATGTCTTCGCAGCGCTGTTTGTGTCCATTATTGTAATGAATGGTTGACTGATTTCAGTGGTTATACTGTACTTATGGTACGTATTATACAACGCTTTTGTCGCACGTGTTGTGCAATGAATGAGTGAAACAATAGTTGAAACACTTTTGAGACTATTTTACAGTTACTGCACTCGTATTGGTTGAGCGCTTTGTTGGTATACACTGTACCACAACTACTGCTATACTGTATATCAATAGTACAGCGACTCTACTATAGGCAGTGTTTGTGTTGTTGTCTACCATTGTTGACCACCGCCGCCGCCATCAGCTCTTACACGTCATCCACTTCTTGAGGGACATTAATAACGGTATGTGTGTTAACCCCTGACCTCCGCGGCCTTTCTGGCCTACAGTCTCTCGTTTATGTCATGAATTAAATGCAATTTTTGCTGTCATTTGTTTTGTATATGTATTTTAATGGACAACAGATCAGTGGACACGTGATGGCCGAACCCAACGCTCGCCAAAACCGGCACAAGAGATGGTGTCGTCGCTCGTTATCCAAAGATCGCGGGGAAGCGATGCGGACACTCATCAGTACCATCGATGTCGTGCGGCAGATGAGGGTCACCCGAAACAACGGGAGTAACGGAATCGCCCGCATGTCCAGCATTAAGCGGACAATCAAGAGGCAAATGTTGCGCTACTACAAGGCCACACATGACAGGGGCTATTCGGTGGCCCTTAAAGCCAACGACATATTCTTCGCCGAAGAGTACACCGTATGTATTGTTTACCATATTTTTAGTACTCTTCCCGTACTTCACGAGCAATTCGTAACGACTGGCGATTTGTCGCGCGTTTCGGCCTTTGATGTGGTCCTCGAGTTTCACCCAATGGAAGTCGAACTTCGGGGCCAACTCTCGGATCAGCTTATCTTCTTGTTGTGTCCAATTGCCGAGTTTGCGATCGGAGCCGAAGTTCAATCGCATCATATATCGCTCTCATCCTCGAGTTTCACCCAATGGAAGTCGTACTTCGGGGCCAACTCTCGGATCAGTTTGTCCTCCTGTTGTGTCCAATTGCCGAGTTTGCGATCGGAGCCGAAGTTCAATCGCATCATATATCGCTCTCTGCACTGCCTATTGCTGCGGCCGGGGATGAATTGGGCCACTTTGCGCCAGTTGTGGGTCCCGTACTTACGCACGGCTGCCGTCAGCACTTTGTTCTCGTCGTCCGACCACTGGTCACCCCTCTTGACCACATTTATCTTATTCCAGTAGTGCTTAATCTGCGGTAAAGTGCGGCCTTCGATGAAGTACTTGACCTGATGCCAGGGGATGTACTCTCCCACTCGGCACGAGTCGATCACCTTCTCGACGGTCTCGGCCTCGGCTTTGGTCAGTGGCCCGACTCGGCGCAGGTCTCGGTTCAGTTCCGATTGATAGCGTTGACAACACTGCCACGCGAGCCGTCCGTTGGCCATCTCAGCCGCCACTCGATCCCAGTCTCGCATTCCGTGCTCTTTGACGAGTTCTTCGAGGCGTTTGTCCTCCGCTTTAGTCCACTCAGTCTTATTGACTTCGGGATGAAGAAAGTTATTCCAGTAAAGCTCACAGTCATCGCCGGTGTGGTCGGTGTCCAACTCGGCTGAGAAGCGAAGCCAATCCAGTTTGGGATCCCATCTGTCGCTCATTGGGATGTCCTTCAGATCCATAGCATTGAGTTCATCGATGCGTTGAGTCAACTCTTCGATGCGCGACATATTCTTCACGATATTCTTCTTATCTCTGGTCAGCTTTTCCTTCTCGTCTCTCACGGGCCGATTCAGTCTCTCGAGAGCGTCCACTTCCAGCACTTCCCGCAGCCGTTGTCTCTCCACAACATTCCACGGCTTTCCGGCGCAGACATAGGATTCGGTGAACTCTTTGTTGCGGGTCTTCTCAATGGTGTCGGCGTTTGGCGGCGCCGACAGTCCCTTCACGTCCTTGAAATACGGGGCCATAAATGGGATCAAAGAGTTGGGATGACTGTAACCGAAGCTATTGATAGTCACGTCCCGAACGGTCTTGAAGTCAGCGCTGGCCTCGAGTTCCTGCTGTCGGCTCTGGTTTTCGCGCAACTTTGAGGTCAAGTACTCCTTCAGCTCATCGATGGACTCGATGTACACGTTGTTCAGCAGAAGACACGACTCCAAAGTGATGGGCAGTTCCACGTCTTCGCCATCCATGTCGTCCTCATCAGCGCCGCCGGCGATCGTGTCCTCCATATAGTCGACCAGCTCTTCGTTGTCCATCTCATTGACGGCGATCTCCTGCATATGTTGGCCATCCATACCCATGGGATGAGTGCTGTTGTTGTGGTAACTGATTGACGGATCAGTTGCGGTGATAATTGTTGTTTCGACACAACATTCAAAAGTCAACACTGAATGCAATGCTTTTTTGGCCAACTTTTGTCTTCCGATTCGCAATATCTTATCTAAATTCTCGGTCTCTTTGTTCTGACGGTTAATCATTTGCCGTATCTTTTCGTACAACTGGTTCCTAACGGTCAGCGTTCGGGTCATTCGGTTCTTCACACTCTTCGCCACTTTCTTAGTACTCTTCCCATACTTTACGAGCAATTCATAGCGACTGGCGATCTGTCGGCTCACAGTCATCGCCGGTGTAGTCGGTGTCCAACTTATGTATTGTCTTATTATGTATTACAGGACGGCGTGAATGTCACCAAATACTGGCAATATATGGAGTTCGAAGTTCAATGTGAGCCGTGGACAGTGATGGTCGGGAAACACAAAGTGGACATCACTTACTTCTCATGCAAAGTGGTTTGCACTGAGAAGCCGTTGATATCAATACTAAGTTCGATGCACTCACTGGTCGACCCCCCGGCCGGTGATATTGCCGCCCATCGCCACCGCTTCTGATATGATTGTAAAGTTCATTGAATTCAATGAGATTTTATTGATTAAAATAACTAATTGTATGTTTTATTTGTTGTTTAGATAACATTTGCATTAATGTTAATAATGATACCATTCTTCTGGTTGTTTGTGACAATTCTTCATTTTCCTCCACTTTTCATAATCACATTATCCATTGTCGGCATCTTTTGGCCTATATTTCCCGCAATTGCCGGACATTTGCTAATCTATTCGGTATTATTTCAACATTTAATTACTTATAAAATGCATTACAAATCAAATCCTAATTCCTTATAGTATTACATGAATTACATTTCGGACGCAATGTTTCCCATATTTTTGCTTTTGGTTTTCATTGACGTAAGTATTCATTGAAAGAGTAATTCAAACTTAAACTCAAACTTAAACTAATTTTGTTTAAAATATTTCAGTTGTTTTTGTCGCTAATGTTTTACATGTTTTTGTTGAGACTCATCGACAGTCCAGACATTTGTGACAGCGTTTTGAGACTCATTAGTAAATCCAAAGCAAACCATAATCTCATTTCATTTGACTCTCCGCTCGAAGACTCGGATGTCCTCCAAGAGAGGCGTGAAGTGAACGCCGTTTTGCAAAACAAACACAAAGTATGCGTTAATTTCAGTGAATTTACAATTTTATAATTGAAATGTGTATTCAATTTAGAGTCCAATTCTTTTGATCCACGGCTTGACTAAAGTGTTCCGCAAATCACGGCTTTTCGGTCTCTTGCCGTCGGACTCGACGCCCGAAATAGCGGTCAATAAATTGTCTCTTATATAAGTTTTAATTAGTTTTGCACTAATTTATATTCATTTAGTTTATATTAATTTTTGTTATTCATTCAATTTTTATACATAATTTAAAGTTTTATTAATTTAGTTGTTTTTATATACCATTGATAGAAAGTAATATTAGTTTAAATTTTTCAACTATTTAAGCATTTAATTGTATTGTAATAATTACAACTTTTTATTGTTTTAAAATATATTGTCACAAAACATACGGTATTTCTATTCCCCGAAAGTATAAACTTATAAAAAATAAATTGCTTTTATTAGACGTTATTTGTGAACATTATCTGTATTTTGCTTTGAAGTCAACAGTGAATATGTTTTTAATTTAGTTTTTAAACAATTTGTATCTGAATTGTAATTAAATGTGATAACAATTAACAAGTGGTGAGCCATAAGAAGTGTTTTTATCATTGGATCAGATGATGTGATGTCTGGTTTGGCCGCAAACCCGTTGATAATAAGCTGAAGCGATTGTGTCTACACTTCTTGCTATTGGTTTGTAAATGAGTTTAAAAATTAATAAATTATAATTAGTTAACGAAAGGGAGGGCCCCATAGGGGGGGTGAATAGGATGACCACATGACCATGGTCACATTCATTATGGTCACATTTAATAACATGTGTGTAACTTAACCGGTGTTCGCACACCACTGGACAACCCTTTCAACTCATCCCAAGCCATGAAAAACTTTTTAGAAATTGTTTTTGAATTAGTTTTCAATTTAAATGTTTAATAAATTTTATTTTTATAATTGTTTTCAATCGTAAAGCGAGGAAAATGTGTGGAAATTATGTGAATATATCGCTAATAATGAGAGCAATTGTCTCAACGATTGTTTTGTTGTCTTCATATCTAATGAACAGAAAATGGTATTAATTAATGAATTAATTGTTTAATTAGTTTAATACTAATTATTAATTGTTTTGATGAATAGATACCACTTTGGAGGCAAAAGGCTGGCGATGAGCGCAGGGATTATCTCTGTGTTTGGGATTATCATGTATTTATTGGATTTTTTTATTTTTGTTTTAAATTTTCTAAATATTTGTATGATTTATATTTAGTATTCAACCAATTGTTGATTAAATCTCAGTTAAATTTTCTTACGATATAATTACTATATTTATAGTTAATATGATTTACATATTATTATTATCCTTAAAATGAGATATTATTTTTAATTTTTTACTTATTTACAAAATATGATTATTAAATGTTTAATTTTACAATTGAATAATTAATTTAAAAGATATTTTAATTGAAAATATACTAATTTGAAGTTTAAAATTAATGACGGATTAATTGTAGACTATTTGTGGCATTAATTTATTAAATTATTGAATGAATATCTATTTTTTGTGTTTCATTAGTTAATAGCAATTCAACCATAAGTTATTAGTATTAGAGCTTATAGTTTATAAGACTTGAAATTGATTTATTACTTAATTGCTAACTATTTATCGCTTAATTAATTAAAATTTGTATTAAACGAAATTTGAAGTTTTTTAATAATACAAGTGATGCAAAACATTTTAACAAAATGATAAATTTAATAAGTTATCAAAAAATTAACATAAAATCAAAGTTTTGTTAACAAAATACTGATTCATTACTCAATTGAAGCGATATTTAAATTTAAACAACATTTTCGGCTCAATTCACAAAATGATTATATTTTAAAATGCGTTTAAAAACACAGCAATCAATCAAATGAGTGGTGTTTTTAAAAAGTGGACTTAAAATAAGTTTTTAATTATTTAATAATTAAATTATTTCCGCGATTTTAAGCAAAATGTTTCTCACATTTATTGAGTATAGCATTGAATGCACTGTTCGTTGAGATAATTAATTAGTTATTCAAACGATTAATGCATTTAATTAAAGGCTTGTCTTTTCAGGTCGTAATGATTTATACGCCAAAAGCGGACGACAGTCACAGCACTGGTAGCCATAGAGCGCTGGTATACGACATGGACTCTACCCTTGAGTTTTCCCTCGATTTTAGCACATATTCTGGCCTTACATTCAGAGACGAGACGGCAATACGTGATGAATATCACCGACGGTTTCGCGTAATTGAGGCCCAAATCTATTTGACAACATTTGCCTCAAACCGGTCTCATATGCGACGACCCGACGACTCCTGGATTAAGGATCCGCCACTTTATCCCTGTATTAAGACTAATGAATGCGATCATAATCTCGACGGCTTTATATCAATGGATTGCCACCGATTCGCCATCGGATCCGTACTCGACATCAATCAATTCAACCATCAATTTGATCCCAAGAGCTGATCGTATGGATTAGACTCAATGTTTTATAACTCAATCGCTGTTTAAATAACACTATTGTTAATACTATTTATTGAGAAGTTTTACTTTTAAATTAGTTTATAATTTATTCATTAATTACAAAATACTTAACAATATTATTAATGAAATTAATTATTAATAATTTAAATAATTTGTTGAATAAATAATTGATATTTAAATGAATGAAAATAAAATAATTGATTTAAAAAATGTATAATAATTATTACAATTGATTAAAGAGTGGTAACGAATGGGCGCTGCGATGTCATCACATCCAGACCTGACCTAAAGTCCCAAAACACAAATTGTTGCGAATTTAAGATATCACCCAAAGAGATGTGTATCTGCGATGTCTTGAACTTCTTCTTCGGTGGACAATAATTGTCTGATTCGTGAGACATATCAATGGTTTCAATGATCGGCTCATCTATGGCTTCAATCGGAACACCAATCGATTCTTCTTCGGCTTCAATCGCTGTCTTTGTCGGCAAAGTATCCATTTGTTGGAAACAATCACCCAATTGGTCGAACCATTCCAAGCCGTCGTCCATGTCGTCCAACCACTGCAGGCCGTCGTCGGTATAGGCCATCAGTTCTGGGTCTTCGGGAACCGATGGTCGGATCAAAAACTGTTGGACAACTCGATCACTGCTGGCTTTCATTAAATCGTATTGATATGTGCGCCAACACTCATCGACCCATTCCTCCGACACCACAGGAACGCCATTCTTCACAGCTCTGGAGTACTTCTTTGACTGGACGCCGTCTGAGACCAAATGAGTGACCTTTCAATGCATAACACAATACAGACATTACATATCACGATATCATGTCATTGAATGGATGCTTACATCGGCTGTGATTTCCATTGAGTACTTCCCGGCCATAGATCTGATTCGCACCATAAGGTCTTGTTTTCGGTGCTTATTGTCGACAGCGATGGACACAACCGTTCCGGACATACAGGCGCTGAACGCGGGACACGACTCGCCGACAGCGGCCGCCATCGATGGCCGCAAAGACCACACAACCAGACGACCGATGATCGGGAGCTCAGCGAATGTGGCCAATTGTGGCCAACTGTGGATATTTGAATAGACCGGTCAGTAGTACCGGTTTGGAAGTCCGAGTTTACGACAAGAATCGTTTTCGAGATAATCGGGACCAAAGTTGTGATTTCCTCATAGAATACCATTATAAACAACAATTTCTATTTTACACCCGACCCAACCCAACAAAATGTTAACTTAGGTTTTGATGTTTGAAATTTTTCAATAATAATTACGATTACGATAGAAACTAAACCATAATTTTCTAACTTTGGCAGTAAAATGTCTTTTATTAAATCAAAGGCTTTTTTTTAATTCTACTGTAACGACACATACATATTGTAACGTCAGGTTTAGACTTACTCATTAAATAGTACTCACCGGACACTTGACCATCTGAAGTGTTGCTGAGTATAGTCTCACTCACTCTATACTTGTCCATTCGAATTGTGTAGTTTGAGTGAAGGCGACTATCGCCGTGTCTTAAGCCATTACTTCATTATATACTTTACTATCACTACAGGAGAAATATATGGTCAGTTTCGGGCATTACTTGTCTACCCCTTGATTTTCGACATAGACACCTTGCTTACTGTCAGTTAATCCTTGGTATCAATATAGCTTTCCCTTTATTACGAAACCCATTAAAATACTAGTTTTAATAATAATACTACTACTCAACAATACCTATAAATCAGCAATCCATTGGAGTACTCTTTTTTATTACGCTTTTTGTGTTAACCAATTATACACTAGTATTGAGGTCATGAGCGCACTTGCGCTCTGTCACGTTGTCTTAGGATCTGTACAGAACAGATCCATTAAATTCAGTTAACCGTTGGACTCTTAATTGTTTGGATATGTTTTCTCTTTGTTGGACTTTATTGTCCACCACTTTATGTACTTTTTATTTTACTTTTATTAATTAAGCATTAAAAAATTCACAGTCCCAAACAGTTGTAAGTAATTCATTTGGTTCGGGCCACCAGGGCCCCTCTTTCTCTCTCAATCCTATTCCCTTTCCTCCTTTCCTCCCGCAACCGAAATGCAAACCACCCGCCAATTAAGGCTTCGCGTGACGGACTTCGGTCCATCGCTTCTCCGTACTATATGTGCCTCCGCCGCACATAACCACCGCCTTATATGGCTTCGCGTCGTAGAAGCAGCAGGACGGTCACAACGGTGGCCGCTTTTATCGATGTAATAGACAACTCGTGGACGCTATCCGACTCACTCTGGACTCGCCCCGTGATGGTTGCCGTCGCTAACACCCGCGACAGCCTTCACCGCTCGAGACTATGCCACGCAAACGACTTCGAGAAGACACAGACGTTACCAAATGACCGGATGCCGAGACGCAACGCGCCACAAGAATGAAGGCCTCGTCAGGCACAAAGACACCAGACGTGTGGCCAGTTGGGCGCCGGGCTCACGGGATGCGTCAAAATTGATTGCGATCCCTCGCACAGCAGATCTGCATTTGTATAGCCATTAGACAATCAGTGGACAAGGGTTTTGGCCGAATCACAAACTGATTTGTTTAAAACTTCATTTGCGTCTAAATATGTTTTATTTCGTTGAATAGATGTTATTCCAGTATTTTGCTTACAATGCATAACACAGATATCGGGCGAAAATTATTAGGATCCGTTTTATGCCCACTTTTAAACAATGGAGTAACTAATGATGTTTTCCACATCTCTGGGAATATTCCTGTAGTTATTGTATTAAATAAACATTGAATATGTGGTGCGAGCGCTAGGATTGACATTATAACCATTTTTGTAAAGATGCGATCGCTGCCACAGGAATTGGTGTTTTGAGATTCTGTGCATACTTTACAACAAATTCTTTAGAAATAACTGACATAAAAATTACATAAAATAGGAGAACTATTTGAGTTTAAGTCACTAATTGGATCAAAATTATTACAGTATAACCAATATTCACACACTATTTCCAACAGAATCCCATTTAGTTACATATGGTTTATGTCATTCCTTCCACTTAATCCCCTAATACCCCTCTAAGTGTTGCATTCCTGGGCGGACACCGCCTGGGTATATAAGATGAGCCAATTCTTACCCCAAAGTTAGTTATGCTTTAGTTATGTTTTAGATTAGTCTTTAGTGAGTACTCTCAGACACGACTTTGTATGTTGTCGTGTAGAGTAACTCAGTACTGTGTGAATTGCTGTGTGTTATTAGATGCTTCATAATTTTTGTATACCTTTTTTTGTATTACTTTTATATAATCACAATAAAGTCTTATTTACTCTAAACCTGTGTAATAACCATTAATAACTCCAAATAACGACGGTTGGCGTCCGCGTCCGAGTCCGCGTCCGAGTCGACGTCCGCGGACGCGTCCGCGAGTCCATAAGTCTTTAGGGCTCAGGTAAGTCCATTGGACGGGAGTTTGTAAGTATTGAATGCCAAGCGAGTAAATGTATAAACCTATGCTCTACGAAAACCCCCTTTAGCTCTACCAAAACTGCTGTTATAAACCTAAACCCTGTCCTATGCTTGCCTGCTATACGCCTATTATTGTCATTATACTGTATTATTAACTAAATTGGTGGCACTATTTAAAAGTTCTCATTTAACTCATTTGCATCCAAAATATTGTTATCAATTTTGCGAAACATTTGTGTTTGAATGATAGTCGATATGATTGACCGGATTTTTAACCACAATTCAGTATGAATAATGTGTTTTATAATATTGTTCAACCCACCCGCCCTTTCCCCCCTCCGCCCTTCCGCTCTATGGAAAATAACATGGGATTACAGCTTAAATTTATGGCTATACTTTAACATGGGATTCTTGAGTCTATGGGCAATTAACATGGGATTACAGCATAAGTCTATGGCTATACTTTAACATGAGTAATGCTAAGTCTATGGCATAGGAATAACATGAGTAAACTAAGTCTATGACATAGGAATAACATGGGTAATGCTAAGNGCTAAGTCTATGGCATAGGAATAACATGAGTAAACTAAGTCTATGACATAGGAATAACATGGGTAATGCTAAGTCTATGACATAGGAATAACATGGGTAATGCTAAGTCTATGGCAATGATAAGTCTATGGGTCATGCCTGGGATTTGGACGCAAATGTGTGTTATGCATCACTCTGTATTTCTTTAGAAAATGTAGCATATATTTAGTATGATCAAAACATATACATAAAAACCTGTTTTGAGCAATCAATATTTTAATGCAAAACGTAAAGATGAACTGAGGTCACCTTATTGATATCAAATATTAAGACATGACCACATTGTTGATATACAAAGTATGTAAAAAGATATTAAAGTATAAATTAAATGCTTTTTTAATTTAAAATGTTGTCTTATATTAATAATTTCGTCCACCAAGATGGTTTTTATAATTTCAGTTTTAAATTTTGGTAGCTCATTTATGACGTGTTAGCGTTTACTTGACATTTCGTCCACCATGATGGTTTTTATAATTTCAGTTTTAAATTTCGGTAGCTCATTTATGTCGTGTTGGGGTTTACTTGACATTTCGTCCACCCTGAGGTCTATTATCATTTCAGTTTTAAATTTTGGTAGCTCATTTATGTCGTGTTGGGGTTTACTTGACATTTTGTCCACCCTGAGGTCTATTATCATTAAATTTTGGTAGCTCATTTATGTCGTGTTAGCGTTTACTTGACATTTCGTCCACCATGATGGTTTTTATAATTTCAGTTTTAAATTTTAGTAGCTCATTTATATCGTGTTAGCGTTTACTTGACATTTCGTCCACCATGATGGTTTTTATAATTTCAGTTTTAAATTTCGGTAGCTAATTTATGTCGTGTTGGGGTTTACTTGACATTTTGTCCACCCTGAGGTCTATTATCATTTCAGTTTTAAATTTTGGTAGCTCATTTATGTCGTGTTAGCGTTTACTTGACATTT